CTGGACAAACCAATGTCACAAAACATGAAGATTATAAACACCTGAAACCAGGCTAAGTCCATGAGAGCTAATAAGAAAAAATATTCATGACAAATTGTAGCAAACACTTACAAGCGTGGAACCAGGATAGGTAGATCTGTAGAAATTTATGCCACGAAACTAAACTCATAACCAGGTCCATGACCCCACGGCATGGAATAGAAAGAAGAACTAGTAACAAAAACTAATAGTGTTAAACCAGCGTCAACAATGGAGTAAATCACGTCTATCTAATTTAGAACTTAATAGAAATAAATAAAAGCATATATCACATCATACAGATCTTCTATGTGAATTGGTGACTTCATTGCTGATAAAGTCCAAAATCCCAACATATCAGTGTGTTATACACCATCGTCAGAATCCTATAGTAACTACATGTGACAGTATGCTTGTTCAGCGTTTGGAAAATGGAGTACCGAAACCCACCTACTAATGATATGTAAATAATACTAGTACGTAGTCTTGAACACGTCTTCTATGCGTTGTTCTTCGTTTTTTGAAGGCGTCTGAGAACAGGGTATTGAGGAAAATATTTGGACCGAAAAGAGATAAATTGATAGGAGATTGAAGAAAATTGAATAATGAGGAACTTCATAACTTGTACTCTTCTCCATGTGTAATTAGAATGATCAAGTCAAGGAGGATGAGATGGACAGGGCATGTGCCACGAATGGGGAAGAGGAGGAATGCGTATGGGAAAGCCAGAAGGAAAGAAACCACTGGGAAAAGTAAGGCATAGGTGGGCGGACAATGTTAAAATGGATCTTAGAGAGATAGAATGGGATGGTATGGATTCGAGTGATCTGGCTCAGGATAGGGACAAGTGGAGGGCTCTTGTGAACACAGAAATTAACATTCGGGTTCCATAAAATGCTGGGAAGTTCTTGAGTAGCTGCACAATTTTCAGCTTCTCAAGAAGGGCTCAGCTCCATGTGTGAGTACCGATAAGTTAACACTGGACAGTGAAATATATGAGCAGTAAAAACCCAGCAAGGTAGCTAAAGCGGTAACGTTTCTGACTTGCATTCGAGAAGTACTCGGTTAGAATATTGGCCGACTATACTGACTGATGTTTCTCGTGCTTTGTTCAACTCTTCCAGGCAAATGCCGGTACAGTATCTCAAATTGGACTGCAATCGCTGTTTTACATCTTTGCAAATTCATCATTCACTAACCACTGTTACTTCGTGCCATATGTTCTGAATAATGTGACTTACTAAAATAGCTAAATAAACCATAACTAAGTAAATTGACCAATTAAAAGGATCACAACTGCGCATAGCTGAAAAATTTATGACATATGCGAGGGAAAATAATTGAAGTAATATTGTGGTTTGAGAACTATTAGGATAGGGTAAAGAATGAAGTTCTCATGTGTAGAGGATTGAAGTGGCTCAGGCAGGACTTGAACACACAGCAGGGAACATTTGGGATCCATTTACTCTTACTCATGGAGCTGAGCCCTTCTGGAGGAGCCGCCAATTCTGCAGCTACTCAAGAATTTCCCAGCATTTTATGGAACCCGAAGGTTCATTACCGCGTTCACAAGAGCCCTCCACTGGTCCCTATCCTGAACCAGATCTATCCAATCCATACCATCCCATCCTATCTCTCTAAGATCCATTCTAATATTGTCCACCCACCTACGCCTTGGTCTTCTATGTGGATTTGGGATCCATATAAACTAATAACTTATTGACCCGTTAAATAATTATTAACTGCTCAAGGGAGAATCTCTACGCTTACCTCATTGTCAGTTATATTTCGTCTTCACATAGGCCTTGCAGTGAACACAGTGCTTGGCCGTATGAATCTGTTCCACATCCTCACACTGTCTTTCGTCAAGTTGCTGTATTCTTCAATACTGTTCTTTCGTCTATGCCTAGGTCTCTCAAATTATCGTATTTACTTCAGAATATCCACCTGAAATTATATAACTAACTTCACGGAGCCGAGCCCTTCTTGAGAAGCCGCCAGTTATGTAGCTACTCAGAAATTTCCCAACATGGTTCATTACTGTGTCCACAAGAGCCTTACCCTGAGCCAGATCGATCCAATCCATACCATACCATTCTTTCTCTTTAAGATCTATTTTAATATTATTCACCCATCTTCAGCTTAGTCTTCGTAGTGGAACTGAAGTTATGTACTATATACTCGTATATCTCGTATATAAGTAGAATGATCCAGTCAAGGAGAATTAGGTAAGCAGGGCATGTAGCACGAATGGGGGAGAGGAAAAATGCATATAGGATATTGGTGGGAAAGCCAGAAGGAAAGAGTCTACTGGGAAGACTAAGGCGTAGGTGGGTGGACAATATTTAAATGGATCTTAGAGAGATAGGATGTGATGGTATGGTTTGGACTGATCTGGCTCACGATAGGGACCAGTGGAGGGCCTTTGCGAACACGGTAATGAACCTTCGAGAAATTCTTGAGTAGCTGCAGATTTGGCTTCACCTCAAGAAGGGCTCATCTCCGTATGTAAGTGTATACGTACATACTATATGCTCTGCCGCTCATCCTCGTTTGATTTCATCATCGTAAGAGTACTTGGTGAAGACTATATATTATGTAGCTCCTCGTTATGCGACTGTCAGCATCTCCTGTTACTGCCTGTCCGAGTTCTACTTAGAAACTTGATTTTAGCTGTTTATATGCTGTACACATATGGGAACATGCCACAACGTGAAAGGAATGAAAGCAATTGCAACTATGGGTTGTCTAGATGTAGGTGGGTGAGATTTAATAAAAACTTCCGGAGCGGGAGGGATGAAGTTCAGGGGAAATTGTAATCATGCGGTTCTTAAACAAGGAAGCCGATAATATTCAGGGTTTAAATCACTTGGCTACTCCCGAATATTTATTAATTAAATTGTAACTCATTCAGATTCCTGTATCCCCGAACTCCGATACTTTGCAATATGTTACCCAGTCATATCCAGGTTGTTATGCGTCGTCTCTGTGCTAGCTTAACAAAGGTTATTTTTCTGTAAAGGCTGAATTGTTATAGTGGTGGCTTAAAGATATGTCAGTGTGGGAGGTCACATTGTCAATTCAGATGTGTTTTTTATAAGAATACATTCCTGTTAGCTTCAGAATGTCTGTTTTTGTTGAGTCTGGTATGAACATAACGTTCTGGATATAAGTTAAGGCTCCTTTTTATATACGCTTCATATGCATAGAGAAATTAAATGTATAAATTAATAATTTACTAATATTTCTGTGCGTGGAGTCCAGTAACATAGATCCCTAGTTTTTTTTTTTACTGGCTCTACAGCCCCCTTGGGCCCTGACGTCTGATTTTCGGTTTCATGAATATTTTACAGACGGTAGGACTCCTTGGACGAGTGATGAACTCGTCGCAAGGCCTCTACCTAAACACAGGATAACATAAACACAGAATAAACCATACCAAAGGCATACCAAATGCCTTTGTGTAGGATTCGTACCCACGATCCCAGCATCCAAGCGAGCGAAGACACTTCATGCCTTAGACCGCTCGTCGCTCGTGACCGGAGAACAGATTCCTAATACTTTGCAAGATTTATTGTCAGACGTAACCTCCAAGCATTCTTTATTATCATATACTACAAATAAAAGATTAAACAGATTTTTAGGTACGTTTGTTGTCTGTCCTTACTTATAAAAAGGGCCAGTAGTCGATTAGTTACTGCGATCAACTCAGAGGTATGCAGCTAGATTCGCGATGCCGCCATGTTTCAGTATAAGTGAAGAAACTTGGGGGGGGGGCTCCAATAAGATCTTTCTTATTAAAGAAGCTGTATCACGCAGTATATCAGATCACTGCATTAAGCAAAGTTAGCTCCTCTGAAGTTGGTATAAACGCCAAGAGGATATTTTTGATGACAGAAATGGAGAAGTACCAAAGCGTTGTCCATCAACGGCAAGAAGCCATAGCAGATTTCATGAAAATCCATCATTCGTCGTAGTAGGGGTTGTAGGACTTCTCCCCTCTTCTTGCATGTAAGACAAATGAATGCATATGCCGCTTGTTCTGAAATTAGGAACGGAGATACTTTTGAACGAGAATGAGCTTTTATTCAGTAATGAAACACCATATTGTCACATTAAGGTTAACAAACAATTTTAGTAAGAACAAGAAAAAAAAATAGGAAAGTAGAAGAAACTCACTGTTTCATTTCAAAATTCAGTTCTCAAAACTGTGACATGAAGCAGTCTCTTTGTGTCCAAGTTTAGAATCGGCGTGTCTGATTTTCAGAAAGTTTTCTTTTGTAAATTATTTTTGATTCACTTTATTAAATTGCTTCACTCTTCACACGTTCCATTTGCTTCACGTAGAAGTGTCAAGGAGATGATTTAAATGAGGTTCTAGACAGTATCTGAGATTATGAGACCGTGACATCTCAGTCATGTGATTCGAGTGTAGGGGTTCGATTCTCGGTAAGGACACACATTCAGGTTGTCTCAGAGGTCTACCTACTTTCCTACCAAGTGGATATAGTTTTCTCGATAGTTAAAAGAGCTTAAGCGTGAAGCTGATCACGCTCTTCCTTCTAGTGCCGAAGCCTAAATATGCCTGCAGCAACAGTTCCATACCCAAGTAAATGAAGGCGTGGTATTTAATTAAGCACGAGGATAATTTTAGCTTTATTATTACCCCATCTGGAGGGGATGTTCTCATACATATTAGGATCGCCTGGGTTGTGAAGCCATGAAGCCTTATAGTTGGATACAAACGTTTTGGTGAAAAACGGTTCTTCCATATTCAGGATTGAAGTGGCATACTTATCAAGGCTGAATTATCCTTCGAAACGCTGGTATCCATCTACAAGGCTACACGTAGTCACAAGCCGGAATACCGCAATATGAACAGACACGACAGTGAAAATCTAGAAACTAGAAATTCACGTTTCGATTTAGTATGGCAGCAGATACATGGATGCACATGATTAATGCAAACCATTGTGTTTCAGGATCACGTGATTAGTCCTCAAGTTCTGCTCCCGCCCTTTCAGTACTTTCTGGAGTTCTGCTATCTCAGGGTAAGTCATCAATGAAATTAACTCTGTTGAAAATCGCTGTCCGTTAAAAGTGCTGGAGAAGAGTTCTGTATTCTGGGATACAACCCACAGTAGTCTATTGAAAATCAGCTGAAGTTTCGGAGCCTGATTCACACTGGTTTATAGCTTGGCTTATTCTTTGACGCTGAAGACTGAGGCGACATGTTCCTCTGAAACACCTGTTGACTCTCAACGGACTACAAGACGTCATATTCCAGAAAACAGAATTCTTCGTAACCATCACAGTGAGAACGTCAAACTTTGCTTAATGCTGGAGAAAATTTTGGTTCGTGAAGATAAGAGTAGCCGGTCACGGTAGCTGAGCGGTCTAAGGCATGCACTGTCTTCGCTCTCTCGGAAGCCGGGATCGTGGGTTTGAATCCTACACAAAGTATAGATGTTTGATATGTGTATGTGTTTATTCTGTGTCTATGTTGTCCCGTGTGTAGGTAGAGGCCTTGCGACGAGCTGATCACTCGTACAAGGAGTCCTACCGTCTGTGAAACGATCAAAATGAAAAAAAAAATAATAAACAACCTCGACACCGTAAAAGTATAAGGGGAACGGAGTAAGTAAGTATTTGAGGATGAGAGTGCACTTTCATGATTAAGTTTTATGACTATGAAATACCAAAGTTTTCATGTTTCTAGGGTCATAGGTTATTTCTTGACACTGTATAAAATGCAAATGTTTAGTACAATGCATCTATAGGCCAATACTATTAGTCTAAGCAGGGGACTTTATATACTATTTGACGATTTGTCATTATGTAGCTTCTGTGGAAATCAAATGAGAAACGTATATCACTTAATAGACTTTAAAGAATTCTGACGATGGTGTATGCTGTATAGAACTATAAGGTTTATTTTGGACTCTATCCATCATCTGGTATATATAAGACAAGTGGCTTCCGCTACATCTGCTAGTTTTGCTCTGGAGTTTAGTCTTATTTCGAGATTCTTTATCTGCATAATTAGCTATACATCCTCCATATTTTTTACCCTCGTTTTTAACTTAATTCCTGGAACTTAATCCATACCACTGTTTTATCATATTTTTGACATGTGCACGCTTGGCACAAATTTTCTATCATGTCTTTTATTGTGATTTTATTCTTATCTCCCAATGATGGAACCTGTTGTTAGGTGTTTATAGGCTGTTCTCGACTAATCGGAGTTTGTCCAGTGATTGAGAGTGGTCAGCTTCACGCCACTTCGGCTTTACCCCCGAAGATAGAATTCCCGGTACCCATTCCATACGAGCATGGATCTGTCCCAGAGTCTGGATGACGTGGAGGAAATTCTTGACCTTACAAAAACTCGAACTCCAACCCCTCGGTCATCCAGCCCATAGAAAGTCGCTGTATCGACTACGCCATCCCGGCTTCTGGTTTCACGCTTAGGATTTTCAAAAATATATGCACTTAGTACAAATTTAGCTTCAGTTTATCAGCCCAGCTTCTGTATTTAAATGCCACAAATTTATGGTGTGAAATAATGAATTGCATTTTAAGTGAAGAGTAATATGATTTTCGATGTTCAATTTCTGCCTCAGGACTAGCTGTGGGACACACAATGTGAATGATAGCGGTGCACCTGTCAGTGGAATATATATATCTGTAATCAGCGAGTCGACGGGAAATATCGAATCTATATAACAAACTGTCCTTTCACCCATGCTTACACATTTATCTAACATTGCAGAAGGGCCTGAAGGTTCAGCACTGCTAATACAGCTACCACAGTTGGTCAGGCCTCAGCCAGTTCTCTCAGGCACCTATCCACACAACACTTTTCCGTGGAGGACATTCCTCCCTCAGCAGAGGATGTATGGCCATCTTTCATGCAACCCGAAGGTTCACCAGAGCTCAACACTGGAATCTGTCCTTCCATCTACTCTCAGGTCTCCCCAGATTATCCAGCTAAAACTGTGTATTTCTCACCTGACTAGTCACGCTACATGTTCCCATCTGCCCCTCCTTGATTTGATCTCCCTAATAACACATGATGAAGAGTGTACACATAATATTCTCACCATCCTCGTGTCATTTCCCGGCTCTTAGATCAAAATATTGTTTTAGAACCCTGTTCTTAACCATTCCCAATCTATATTCTTCCTCTAAGGAGAGAGATTATTTCCCGTAATATCTGAACAACTCTAAAATTATATAAGATTTGAGGCTTTCACGGCGGTGACTATGAAGAAAGCAGTCTTCTGGGATTTGGCACCGTGTATATGTGGTGTTAACCGACCTTTCCTCCGAACCGTCGGTTAACACCACATATTCACGGTGCCAAATCCCAGAAGATTGCTTTCTAAAATTATAGTTTCTAGTTCGGAACCGAGAAAGTAAAGTATTTCTGACAACGTAATTTTGATTCGCTACTCTGGTTCTCAATTTTTTTTAATTGTGCCACATTTTCGAAGGTTCCATAAAACATTTAATCGAAATTCGACAGATGTTTCTGATGCGAATGTTGCGGCGGGTGGACAAGACCTCGCCGTTATACATTCACGTAATATGTTAGATGTAAAAACGCAGAGTACTGGCACCGATAGTTCATGCGCCGTGCCAGAGCTGCAACTTCTCTTCCGTTACTGTTCTGCATGTAGCCTAAGTAATACTCGTTAGGCGATTACGCCTTCTTGACAGTCTCCTTCTTATCCAGGCATGTTTAAAGTGGAATGCAAAGCAGCACACACACGAGTTTTAAACAGAGTTGAGTGCCATGTCTTCCCTCCACCTAACTCAGAGTTTATTTTGCATATTTTTTTAAAATTTCCGAACCCAATTTTGAAATTCCTTGACCGTGATTAATGAAGTTCTGAGACCAACACATATTTGTCGTGTTTCATATTAATTTCTTACTTACAACCACATATTATGGGACGTACTTACGTTGATTGCTTTAAGTAAACCTTCTAGTTCAAAACAAGGGCAATCTAAAGCACTAAATTAAATATACACATACACAGAGTGTTCCAGAATAATGTTACTACTTTTCAGATTTTTGCACTTACATGAATGAATGAATGAATAAATGGTGACTACTTTCCATAGGCAAGAAGTGCCGGAGTTTGACTCCCTCGTCCTACATTCCGGCCTCCCGTGTTAATTGCAATTGCAACATTACAGAACTCAGCTACTAATAGACTAACATTTAATTATACATATCCTATTATTGGCCGGTCACGGTAGTCGAGCGGCCTAAGTCATGTACTGTCTTAGCTCGCTCGGAAGCCGAGATCGTGGGTTCGAATCTCACATATGGCATGGATGTTTTATATGTGTATGTGTTCATTCTGTGTTTATGATGTCCTGTGTTTAGGTAGAGGCCTTGCGATGAGCTGATCACCCGTCCAAGGAGTCCTACCGTCTGTAAAATGATCATGAAACTGAGAAATCAGCCGTATGCTCCAAAGTGGGAGCGAGAGGAGAAACAAAAAGAGAAAAGGAAAAAACAATCCTATTATTACTTCTGCTAATTACAACTCGTCGAAATGTATCCATACTTCTTTCTCGTTTTTATTTATCATCCTCGTCCATTTATTTTTATATTGTTTATGTATATTCCTACTTTCTGTCACTTCTCTTCTCCTACTATACATGCAGCGTGAAGGATGAATCACTTAACATCACCTGGAATAACTCCTTTGTTATCCAGTCCATCAAAAAATACTTCAAGGATGACACATGATGTGTGATTATCTTTATTTTTAGTTTGTTTTTTATAATATATCAATATTAGCTTCATTTTTTCTGAAGTAGAACTTGATCATTTTACTCCTACAAAAGTTATATAGGCGATCAATAAGAGTCAAACGACCATAAATCGAATACGATTTCGACGGAAGGTATCGCGATACAGAGTACAAGAGAGAACCGCTCCGTGTACCTCAGTGGCACAGCACACGTCACTCTTGTACTCTGAGTCACGATATCACATGGACATTTCGTCGGAATGGTGCTCAGGTTTTTGTCTCTGGATTCGTAATGATCGGCTCTACAATTCTGGGGGAGTGCAAAACGAAGTTTTATTTAAGGAAAAAATTAAGCTGCCCTTACTCGTAAATAACGCAAGATACAAACAATATATTCCATGCACCAGTGTCCCCAATGATAACAAGCAAATCTTGTCTCAAGTTTTCCCTGACGTAATGGATAGTTAAGGAGATATTCAAGACGATAACGTTAATAGGCTCGATCAGGATATTTATGATATTAATCATAAGGTTTCTGCAAGGTTAGATAAAGCAGCCAACAACTGTCATCTTTTGTACATAAAATTCCAATGTCATAATGTAAGAATGTTCCCTGTATGCCGTCCATTTTCTGGCGTCGCGATTATATCTACATTGTTTTATAAGCTGGCCCTGTCTCTGTGTTTGTTAAACGGACACCACTGAGCAGACACGCACTTTTCATTCATCGTATTATTTCAGATATGTAGGCAAATTGAAGCATTACGAAACTTAGGAATTCAGGAGGAAGCATTTGTAGCTGCTCAGCACGTACATATTTTTTGTCATTTACATTATAAATGTATGGGGTTCGCGGTAGCGTAGTTGGTTGAGGCACTATACTACAAGCCGGAAGGTCGCGGGTTTGAGTCCCTATGAGGTCATTGGATTTTCTCAATTTACCTAATCCTTCCAGCCGGACAATGGCCCTGGGGTCGACTCAGCCTCTAACAGAAATGAGTCTCATGAATATTTAGGGGTAAAGTGCGGCTGGCGCGTAAGGCTGACAACTTTACCACCATCTGTGAGCCGATTGCCTAGAAAATGTGGGAACCTGAGTATCTTACAACCCTATGGGCCTCCACGGCCTGTTAGGGTAATACCTTTACTTTACTTACATTATAAATGTTCTAGAATTGCGGGAGTATATTTAAATATTTTATTTAAACCGTGTATCATTTATGCTAATTTCATGTTCCTTAAAAACACCTACTGAAATATTCTCTATTCAGTTAGATATG